ATACATTTTCATTTTAATTTCGCAACTTATAAAGCATTCAAATGTGCATGCAATTTACATATTAAGACTACTGTTGGAAATGGCAAATGTAAATTATATAATTTAATTTTCATTTTACTTTTGCACCAAACTTTGCACCTGTGGGTAATGGAAAATGTCAATTTAAATACAGAAGTCATGACACCGTGGGATATGTGTAGCAAAATTCAATTTGAAAATGCATTCCGAGAATATTGCATTGCCATTTTGCATATTTCATTTTAAATTGAATTTCGCTACCTATATGCTTCCATAGAGAACCGCTGCTTTAGAACATTTTGAAACTTGTGAATCTATTAGAATCGTTAGAAGACAGAATCGCGATTCATATAAGAATAGATTTTTTCGATCTAGTTCTAGTTCTAGATCTAGTTTTCTCTTCCTCTTCTCTAAAGCAGTGCAGAATGGCCTCGCCCCCTTTGCTGCGTGTTTGAACATTTTGAAACTTGTGAATCTAGTAGAATCGTTAGAAGACAGAATCGCGATTCATATATGAATAGATTTTTTCGATCTAGTTCTAGATCTAGTTTTCTCTTCCTCTTCTCTAAAGCAGCGCAGAATGGCCTCGCCCCCTTTGCTGCGTGTTCCCGGAGGCGGGGTTTATGTAAAATTCTGGGTTCTTGACGTAATGGACCCGGGAAGTAACTCGTTGTAGTCCCTTACCAGTTGTTTTTGTAGGCATTAAACTGCCAAAATTTTAAACGACGATATCTCCGTTTTCATTGAACTTTCAGCTTCGTAACTTTGTGTAACGGAGTTAAAAAGAACATTAATTCTAATGATATTCATGGTGCTGAATTACATGAAATTAGAGGGTAAATTAAATCAAACGGTGTTTTGATGCCCCCTGGTGGTTAATGCATTGCAGACATTAATTATTTTGTCCTTGCGCGCCTACCGTAGTTCAGCAGAAAATGGCTGACACTGCTGCGGGTAAGTGTGTTACTCTTCTCTCCTGTTTAAAAAGTGATATAAGTGTGTTTAATATGAATTTTTCACATGTAAACGTTTGTAGTGATTATATCAACAAATCTACAGTGAGTTGGATGGGTTTATATGTCCGATGGAAATTTTGTTGAGTACTTATAGTTGTGCCTCGTGTCTCATGCGGTGAAATTAACATGCTGCAGCAGATGGCTAAATGGAAAACACACAGTTACCCTTAATGAGAGTGAGTTTGTTTATTTGATGCTTTTCTTATTTCAGTGGTTTATGTCTGCAGTGTTTTCACTCTGTGTAATAATACATTTTGATGTATTCCTCAGACACGATTATCATTGCTGCGGAGAATAAAAGAAAGAACAGACAACCAGAGTCTTGTGTGCGTCGTCCATTCAAAATTTGTGACGGATGTGTTAAGGCCACATTCGTTACAACAATCGTTACATTTGCAGATATTGTTTATGTTCAAACAGCAACATTACACACTAACTAACATTAAAAAAGGGAAATCGCAATCAATCACCCCTTTAACGTGCGATATAGTTACTAGCTGGGAAAATTTCTTTGTTTTCAGACGTGACGTAATGATGCGGTGGTATGCTAGAATTTCCCATGAAAACAGTTTGGCCACTTTTAATTATTGGGGGGGACTTGTCACCCTCAATGTCTATGGTGGTTACGGCCCTGCAAGTGGTAACTAAATACATTTAGAGAAAGTATGTTAAAAGCACATTTTAGTTCATATTCAAGGTGTTCCAAAATAGCACAGTTGAGTACACTTAGATGATCTTAAGAAGTACTAAAGAGTAATTTTTAGTATATTAAGTACAAAATTAGTGTGCAAAAATAGAGCACTTTAAGTACATTATGGAAGTGTACTAAGTGCACTTGAATAAAGTGTATTTTACTGCACTTATTTTCATCTGGGAATTTTTATCAGATATTTTAATACTTCATAATTAAGGTGATCATCATAATCGCGATGCATCAATTTATTTTCCCGGCCCTAGCTTTAATACGTGTAGATGTGCTTGTGATATGAGGAGAGCTGCAGCAGCATGTATAGGGTCAGGAATGAAAGAAAACATGTAGGACACATCAAGGGAGTAAGATTTGATGACATCAGATTTGGTCATACCTTGGTTTTTGGTGAATTGATACCACTGGTCTTTTTCAGTATTTAATTCAGAATTTTTGTCGTGTAAACTGTTGATCGTCTGATTAAACTCTTGGACTGTGTTCTTGCAACTCTTTAACCGGTCTCTTTCTGCTGTGATGGAGATGTTCTGCAGTATGATGAAGACCAGCAGAAGAACACAAAAGAGCCTGAAACAAACCGCCAAATATTGACGTCCACCTGACAAACAAGGGAGAAAACACACAGATATCCATTAAGAACAATTCACTCCATATTATAAGATAATCAACATTCATAAGTAATTGATAGGGCTTGTAAAGAGTGCTCTTTTGAATGCTCTATTATAATGACAATTACTGAAAATTAATATATGGTCAAATATGCAAACAACAACATGCTGTAAAGTAAAAATAATACAATTTTACACTAGCACTAACACACTGTTCTTATAATATTCCTGAAACATCAACACTATCTCTGCTTCAGAATAAACTTAATTCTTATTGCACTTTTCCTTGTGCTTTTATTTCATCCCGTTGGTGACTCCGTGATCAATGTCCAGTTGTGCCGTCAATATCTCTGTTTTCAAAATGAACAATAAATCTCTGATTCCATTGTTTGGGGGGGGGGGGTTCACTTTTGCGCCATTATCTCCTTGTATTAAAGTTAACCTTGTTCGCATTCTGTACAGTTCATGTCTGATACCACGCGCCAGCGTCACGTGTTCATGAGGATTATGCTAATCATCCCATATAGAAAACATCACAAGTAAAATCAATCATGTTTATAAAAGATAAACATGGGTTTATTATAGCCCACTTACAATTTACATTTCAGAGATCGTTACAAATAAATTATTAAATCCTAAAACTGAATAAATTTAAATGAACAAACTTGGCGTTGCATTTGCAACCATGTGAAAACAGGGGGTGCTGCAGCCCCCTCAGCACCCCTACTATACTTTATAGTATAGTATTATACTCAAATTCTACACAATCTACATATTAGTCTGTTTTAAAATACATGTTGATCAAGTAATTTCACTGGCTTCCAGTGGTGAAGGTAGTGAATTACAACTACTCACGTTACTGTAATTAAGTAGTTTTTTTGGGTACTTCTACTTTTTTTTTGTTTATTTTTAAAGCTGTACTTTTACTTGTACTTAAATACAAATTAAGCAAAATAATCTACCTCGTTACTTTTAAATCATAGTTCGTTACTGAGTACGTCCACAATTTGAATTGATATTCAAACCTTTGACGGCACTTCAGTAGCCAATAAAGATATCCGATCGTACACGGACCAATAGAAGCCCTGATATATGAGCCGGGAAAAGCCGCTGCTTTTTCTCTCTCTCCTCTCCGTCAGCGAGTTTGACACGCATCTGGCCTCCTGTCAATTACAGAGTCTGATATCCGCGCGGGATTGCAGGTATTCTGCATAATTTTAGTCATTCCCGCTCAAATGTGGCGAGCGCTTTATAGTAACATGAGAACACAGTCATGTAATCGCAGAAAACTGGATGCGAGCTCTCAAATAGGCCTAACTTATACAAATGAACTGCCTGTCCTCTCACTCCCATATTGCTTTTGTGCAATTGCGATCTATCTGTGCTTTTAAAACAGAAATTATTTATCTTTGCTCCTGGATTAAACTTTGTAAAAAGTTATCAACCATTCAGAATAGATCCACGCCTGACCGATGAAAATCCTACTGGAAATTTGATTGGCTGTAAGTGAAACCAGAAAGTCTTTCAACAATCAAAGATGGAACTTTAATTTCTTTACAATGTAAGTTTATGCTAGAAATGTTTTGGAATGGTATATTTGTCTGATTTGTACATATAAATATCCTAGTCTGCCTAACTGCATCACTACATTGTACAGTCATTACAGGTCAAAGCCATCTGATGTTCCATTTATCTCAATAATTAACATACAGTATATGGCTCTTAAATCACTGCTTATAAAAATTCAGTGTTGCCATATTTCGGATACCTCAACAGAATTGAGATAATTTGTTTTATAATTTTATTACTGAATGTGTTCGTCTATTTTTGCAAATTCAATTCAAATTTGAAATCAGGCTTCCTTGTGCTGTAAGCTTTTGCAACAAAGTTACCCTATTTTAAAGACACAAATACACAGAATGAGCAAATGTTTAAGATTGAGATTTTTGTAATGGTAATTGATCAATATTTATATGTATGTAAATAAAAGACTATATTAAAATATGTTCATCATATAAAGCAAATGTGTCTTTTTAGAAGACACCTTTTCAAAGCTTGAAATAATGATTGCCTTGAAAAAAATGTATGTACAAAAACATTTTTAATATTAAAATATCTATATGGCAGTACACAGTGTGTGTTAGTTTTGCCAATGGTATTGACAATGATTAGTCGTCATGAAGTCAAAAGTGACCCTACTTACTTTTTAGTGCACATTACTAGTCTTGTGGCGAACAATTGAACCGTGCAAATCAGTACACTGGAAAAAAAAAATTGTCTGCCGTCGTAATCTTTAATCAAAAACGTAATATTTGCTTCTGCTCTGCAATGGCGTTCTCGCTCTGATGACGTCAGTTTGACGGCTTCAGGAGAATCCTCTTAAAGGGGTCATATGATGCGATTTCAAGATTTCCTTTCTCTTTGGAGTGTTACAAGCTGATTGTGCATAGATAAGATCCCTGAAGTTGCAAAGACTAAAGTCTCAAAACCAAAGAGATATTCTTTATTAAAGTTAAGACTCTGCCACGCCCCCCTAAAACGGCTCGTTCTAACACGCCCCCACATATCTACCTCACTATGTGGCAATATTTGCATAATGCCGCCCAAATGTACACGCAAAGAAAGAAGGCGTGGTTTCAGTAACCAGCAGTTAGTGTTGAAGCAGCCATATTAGGGAGACGCTGTGTAGTTTACCAAGAAATTTTGGAACACTTCACGCTTCCTTCTGCTGACCAGCTTTTTGAAGATGCTGATTTCATTTTTCAGCAGGATTTCTTTTATTGGTCTTATGAAGTATTCTAATTTGCTGAGATAGTGAATTGGTGGGTTTCTGTTAAATGTGAGCCAAAATCATCACAATTAAAATAACCAAAGACTTAAACTACTTCAGTCTGTGTGCATTGAATTTATTTAATACACGAGTTTCACAATTTGAGTTGAATTACTGAAATGAACTTTTCCATGACATTCTAATTTATTGAGATGTGCGATCAGTCCAGAGCACTCATACACGCATTATTATAACGGACTCATGCTTGCTTACTGTGCGACTCCTGTACGCCACCGCAATCGTCTTTACCTTAATTGCTGTCTCCATCCATCAAAACCTTACTAGCGAGACGAGATGGTTATCAAGTCGAGAAAACTTAGTTTGCATCTCATCTGGACATACATCGGTGGGATGTGTTGACAATCCATTCAGTCTGTATTTCACACAGTGTGGCGTGTGAGGGCTCGCGCTCTTCAGAGACAATCACAGAATATGACAGAGCTCGGGTTTTAAAGCCAAACAATGTGAAATGAATAATTCACTGAAAATGCAGCGCAAGTCTCTGTTCTCTCTGCAATCTCTGATGTAATCAGCCTGGTTTCCTTTATGTTAGCGCTGTTTTGGACGGATTGTTTGAATGCATTCGCTTACTGGATCATTGGACTGAAAACTTTCCCGGAGTTTAGCGGCTTAAAATGAACTGATCGCAACAGACGCAAAATTGGGTTAAAGGGTTAGAATAGAAATTGTGCTTAAGTAATTTTGTGTTAAATGCGTTAAATTATTTTAGTTATTAGTTAAGGATTGTAAAATTCATCGCGATAAAACACGTTAATGTTGACAGCATATATATATTTATTTATTTATTTATTTATTTACATAGCCCTTCCCGTGGGTGTTGCTTCTCTTTGAAGACACTAAAGCTGCAGACGATGCGGTTATTATAAAAAAAAAACACAGTCTGTGATGATTTGGGCTGCAATGTCATCTGCTGGTGTTGGTCCATTGTGTTTTTTGAAAACCAATGTCACTGCACCCGTTTACCAAGAAATTTTGGAACACTTCACGCTTCCTTCTGCTGACCAGCTTTTTGAAGATGCTGATTTCATTTTTCAGCAGGATTTCTTTTATTGGTCTTATGAAGTATTCTAATTTGCTGAGATAGTGAATTGGTGGGTTTCTGTTAAATGTGAGCCAAAATCATCACAATTAAAATAACCAAAGACTTAAACTACTTCAGTCTGTGTGCATTGAATTTATTTAATACACGAGTTTCACAATTTGAGTTGAATTACTGAAATGAACTTTTCCATGACATTCTAATTTATTGAGATGTGCGATCAGTCCAGAGCACTCATACACGCATTATTATAACGGACTCATGCTTGCTTACTGTGCGACTCCTGTACGCCACCGCAATCGTCTTTACCTTAATTGCTGTCTCCATCCATCAAAACCTTACTAGCGAGACGAGATGGTTATCAAGTCGAGAAAACTTAGTTTGCATCTCATCTGGACATACATCGGTGGGATGTGTTGACAATCCATTCAGTCTGTATTTCACACAGTGTGGCGTGTGAGGGCTCGCGCTCTTCAGAGACAATCACAGAATATGACAGAGCTCGGGTTTTAAAGCCAAACAATGTGAAATGAATAATTCACTGAAAATGCAGCGCAAGTCTCTGTTCTCTCTGCAATCTCTGATGTAATCAGCCTGGTTTCCTTTATGTTAGCGCTGTTTTGGACGGATTGTTTGAATGCATTCGCTTACTGGATCATTGGACTGAAAACTTTCCCGGAGTTTAGCGGCTTAAAATGAACTGATCGCAACAGACGCAAAATTGGGTTAAAGGGTTAGAATAGAAATTGTGCTTAAGTAATTTTGTGTTAAATGCGTTAAATTATTTTAGTTATTAGTTAAGGATTGTAAAATTCATCGCGATAAAACACGTTAATGTTGACAGCATATATATATTTATTTATTTATTTATTTATTTACATAGCCCTTCCCGTGGGTGTTGCTTCTCTTTGAAGACACTAAAGCTGCAGACGATGCGGTTATTATAAAAAAAAAATGAACAAAGGAGCAGAAACACAGCGAGCAGCAAAATAGATTGATACCTTTGCTAAAACACTGCAGAAAAAAAACAATGCTGCAAATATAGTAATTTTTATCTATCATAAATATATGACTCTGACCGTTCAAACCAGGTTTGTGACAGTACTTTTTTTTCATCTACATTTAGCATTATTAATCAGTATGTTAAGACTAAGAATACTGAGAACATTTTAAAGTAAACAATTATAATTGGAAAAATTATTTCTAGATGGCAAGGAAAGACAACACTGAAATTACTAGTTTGTTTTGGTTCAAGAGGAAAACTCTGAACCCCAAACATGATCTTTTCTGTAGCATGGCCTTCTGCCTTACATATGTATCTAAATGTAAAAAATTATAATACCTTGATAAAACATCTGATCTTGTCTTTTAATATTCAAGTCTAATTGGGCTCAACTGATGATGTGTTTTTTTAATTAAAAAAAAATCTCAGAAGCCACTGGCCTTTATCCGGACCTCCGCTGGGAAGGAAATAATAATAATAATAATAATACATTTTATTTAAAGGCACCTTTCTCAGCACTCAAGGACACTGCACACTAAAATTACAAACAAGGCAATAAGAAACAAACAATAAATACTATATACAAAAGACTAAAACTAAAATAAGATTTAGGTAAAATATGCAATCTTGAACAAGTGAGACTTGAGTCTGGATTTAAAAAGAGGTAGAGAGTCAATATTTCTGATGTCTGGTGGTAGTGAGTTCCAAAGCCGGGGAGCAGAGTAGCAAAATGCCCTGCTCCCCATAGTGGCGAGGCAAGCAAAAGGGACAGTAAGGTGAAGAGAATAGGCAGACCTGAGAGAACGAGAGGGAATATGGATATGGAGGATGTCAGCCAGATATGAAGGGGCGAGATTGTGGATGGCCTTAAAAGTGAACAGCAGGATCTTATAGTCGATGCAAAACTTAACCAGGAGCCAGTGGAGCTGCTGCAGAACAGGGGTGATGTGGTGAAAAGAAGGGGTTTTGGTGATAATACGGGCTGCTGAGTTTTGAACAAGTTGAAGCTTATAAAGGGATTTACGAGTAAGACCAAAGAGAAGGGAATTACAATAATCGATAATTAGAGACTGGACCTCTTGGAACTTTAATTGAATACCCCTTGTTTAAAAGTTTAGAATTGTTTTTATAATTTATTCTCTTACTATTTGTAATTTCTGTTTACCATTTATTTATAATCTCATGTTGTAAATATATATATATTTTTTTTACTGCCACCTCATTTAGTTATGTGAATGCATGTTTCTTTCTTCTTTATTCAGTAGAGGGTTATGCAAGTGACGTCAGCGTCAGCTGGAGTGAGTGTGGTTCTGCCCACCGAGTGGCAAAATGACTGAATGGCAGCATTGGTTTTCAGCGTGAATGCTGCGACAGAACACACAAAACACATCTAAAACAGGAAAGAGCTTTGTGATTTACTGTACAAACAGCTTTGACAAGAAATCTAAGGTATATTTTTAAAGACTGCCAAAAGCTACAGAAGAGATAAGCAAATGGATCCCTGCGAAAAAAAATAAAAAAAATAAAAACGGACTCCAGGCAGTGAAACACAGATTTGCAGTTATCATTTTACGTCAATATGTTGAATCTTGCAGTAAAATCATACCCTATATATTGTATGGTTATTGGTTATATTTCATATTGACAACTCATTCATTAAATATTTGCCATCTTATATTCTGCATAACTGGATGTTTATTTATATATATATATATATATATATATATATATATATATATATATATATATATATATATATATATATATATATTTTTATTTATATATATATATATATATATATATATATATATATACACACACACACACGTATATATTATATAACATTGAAATAAGTGATCACTTGGATTTAGACCAACCTATTTTGTATTTAAAAAATGCATTCACAGGAAATGTGCTTTATGTATTTCCCCGGCGTTGAAATCAGGTACATATAAATGGGTAAACACTTTGAGCAGGATGCTTTTAAAAATCTTTTTTATTTTATTTAGTACTGCTCTTTAGAAGCTACTGTACATAAGATATTTAAAATAAGTGCAACTTATATAGATTATTCTTGAGAGCGTTTGCAGCTTTTTTTGAGTCCCTCAATTATCCTCAGTGGGAAAAGACGGATCTCAACATCAAGATATCTGTGCATTTACCAAGTTTTATATGTTTGTGCTTAATGGACTTTTAGACCAGACATAAAATTAAGAAAAAAATATTTATTACTGACAACTGTGATGTTGCAAAGTATTATAGATTTAAATTTTATAGAGACTGATTAGAAAAACTTGTAGCACAACTGTTCACTGTTGACTATTGTGTTTAGAGTTTCTAGGAAGGTTTCACAACATTTGTAAATAAAGTAAAATTGGTTTATTAAAAGTTCTCACCTGGTTGAGTTGGATATTTTTCTTCTGCTGTCTTTTGTTTCTTCTGGCTCTTTTTCCAGCTGCGTTCCGGTTTTTTGACTTCATTTTCTTTTCCCATTCTTTCATGTGAGAATGTCAGAAATCTATCTAATGAGGCCATTTCTTGTAGACCCGTTTCTTCATATACATGAGTTTTCTTTCTTAGTCGAATTTTTTCTGGTTCAAACACAGTTGCTCCTTCCATTGCACTGTTCATTTCAAAAGTCTCCTGCATTGCTTGCTCTTGTCTGCCTTTCTCTTGCTCCTTTTTTCTGTGGTTTTCTTCTTGTTTTTTCTTTTCTTTTGTGCTCCTAGTTTGAGAAACTGAGTCAATCCCGTTATTGAAGTGCTGCTTATTCTGTTTGATGAATTCATCGATCTTCTTTAAAAGCTTTTTGATATGAGTTTGATTAATCTCATTTTTACTGTTGATCACATGATATGCTCTACATTTACTGACTAGTCTCTGAAAATTTTCACTAAATTCGAATTCCTGCCATTTTTTCTTTGAGATTAGTTCTCTTCCAGTGAACAGCACCATGGTGAACTTTAAAGCTTGAACTCCAAATATTTCCTCAACAATGTTCCTCTCATCCTCTTCAAAGGTCTCCAGGTCGATGACAAGCAGGAACACATGAGGACCAGGATCAGAGAGATCAAGACTCTTCATCATCTGCTCCTGCAGCTCTTCCTCAGTCAGGTGAGTGTTGACGAATCCTGGAGTGTTTATGATGGAGATGTTTCTGTCTTCTACTCTTCCTCTCTGTATCTCACTCTCTGTGGTTCTGCTCTCTTTAAACACCTCTCGACCCAGTATTGCGTTTCCTATTGAATTCGTTCCAGCACTAGAAACTCCCAGCAGAACAATCCTCAGATCCTGTGAATCACCTGTCAAACATAGCTCTTCATGATTTGTAAATGCTTCCAGAATTCTAACTATTTAATCCCCAGTTAATCCTCATTAACTTTTTTAAAATCTGTTATACTGCTTATTTATTTATTTTTTAGTTTGACGTCCCAAAAATTGAAAGAACTCATTTTGTTCATTCAAATACACTGGATAAATCAATTGGATAAACACAGTTTAAGTTTATTTTACTAAAATCAAAAGATTCATTACAGTGTAAAGTATCATATTAGGCCATTTAATTTACACTAACCTTCATACTTACATGCCATTATGTCTGCGTAGTTTGTTTTTGTCGGTCTCTTCGTCTTGGTTTTTCTGTATAATCTAGAGAAGTGAGACAAAAAGCGAAACTTGAACCATGCCAATTTCCCCTCGCAGTGGAAATTTACCATGTAACCTTGGAAGACCTAAAAGTGAAACGATCTTGGTCCCCACTTCAGATCGCTCAACAACAGCAGTTCATATCTATATCATAACAAATAGATAATAGCCATAATGTTCAGCTATACCTGCTAATATAGGGTGGCCTATATGACTAAAATATGACATCAAGACATGAGTAAGGTTTTCATGATCTCAAAGTTTGGATACTATAGAACAGGGGTGACCAAACTCGGTCCTGGAGGGCCGGTGTCCTGCAGAGTTTAGCTCCAACCCTAATCAAACACACCTGAACCAGCAAATCAAGAGCTGTGTTCGAAATGGCATACTTGCTTACTGCTTACTGCCCAGTACACAGTGCATACTGCCTACTATTTTTTAAAGAATAGTACACAATAGTGTGAAACAGTACACAATAAGCAACAAATTTTTCAGAGTAGTGTGCAACAGTGTCGTCACATGACAAACACAAACATTCAGCACAGCTGTCAAGGTGCAAACAAACAGTGTGCTAACTGTTCTTTTTACAAATGCTTGTTAATAAGGCTTCATAGTAAACAATGTTATATTGCCCAATTTAACTCATTTCATAATTAACTCTATATATTGAACAACACTGAACTGTTTAACTGAAAAATTATATTTTTGGCAGTTACACTAAGTGGAAAAAACTATTTATTCTAGTTACACAGTGCAAATAATGATAAATTCGGTTTACACTAAAATAGCAGCATTTTCGTTAGCAACAGGCTTGTAAATAGTAATTAGGTGTCAGGTATTTATACTTCAGTACTGCATTACAATATAAAACAGTATGCAATAACATATTGAGTGTAAATTATCATATATATATATATGTATTTATATTTATTTTATTAGATGAATGCCACTTTATTGGGACAAAAACCTCCCTACACCTACAGCTAAGCATACATAACACTTTATTATTAATGAGGCATTTTATTTCCACTTTTTAAATATTTACTTAATTTTTATTGAAAATGCCTTTCTGATGTGGTATGTGATGGGAAAAGGAGAAGCACGAGTTTGACAATAGGTGGATTCGAACGTGGGTTGATCGCATCAAAAACAAACATCTTGCGTCTTTTACTCCCTGCGCTACTGATACTGCAGAAAATCACGTCTCTTTTGCAGTCCTGGTTATCACAGCCAGGCATTGGTGGATGGAGTTATGTAAAGAGCCTCTGCCAACAAATTGGTCTGTTTGTCCTTAGAGTAAACACACTCCATTTCTTTTTAGAGCTGCTTTACAGCGGAATTGAATTCTGTTTGCATAACTGAAATATTATTTTTACTCATGTTATTTATATATTACATTACTGCAATATTACTTATTTAATATCTTTGAATCAATCAGTACTGTATTAAGGTCTATAGAGATAAATGTAACCCCTCTGGTCCTAACCACCCCACCTCGTTCTTTTCCGAGTGGGACTCGAATCTGGTTCACCAGCATGGGAGGCGGGCACACTAGTAAGGAGGATAAAGACTGCAGCCTCTAGCATCAGACGCTCTCTCTTGAGATCAGGGGAGTGAGGTTTACCTGCACAGCTCTTACCAGGTGGCCTCTGTTACATAAAGGTGATGCCATTTGAATTTATCTGAAACATGCCGCAGAGATTAAAGTACAATTTATGTCCTACTAACGATATTTTTTTTAGATACACAGCGATAGTTTGTACTTTTCATGTATATGTATATTTGTACATATACAAGTGTTACATTTATAATTACTATTCCCCACCTCCAGTTCACTCACGCGTTTGAAGATGAAACGTCACTACTCTTACTATTTCTGCAGTATGCAGTATGTATACTGTGCATAGTATGCAGATCTTCTGTGTGCATGGAACACCTACTATATTTGCCAGAATCTGCTAAATATAACTCAAGTACACTGTAATCAGTACAGAAGCTTTGTTTGGAATGGCATCCTACCACACAACTCCTACTATATTGCAGTATGCTGTGTGTAAACTGAATAGTACGGGGATTTTCTGTATCCATGGAATGCCGGATTATCTGCTACATTTGATGTATGCATCTGAAGACACTGCATGGGATACTGGTTCCCAGAATACAACGCGCTAAATGTGACGTTATATATACAGTAATGTGTTTGTAACATTCTATGTGGTATCATGGTACACTAATGTGCCAGTCGTTTTAAATGAAGTGGAGAGACGGGATCTTAGGCCTACATCTGACACTCACTGAATACTATCAAGTTCTGGTAAGTTTTTACATTTTACACAAAGTTCTAAAGCCATACAGCCAAAATCACGTCGTAACCAGCCTACTCGAAACTTACTTAAAATGTAAATTTTTATTTATTTATTTAGCCGACTCTTTTAAGCGACGTACAGATGAGGAATACAAGCGATTCGTTAAACAGAGGTGTCAGTCCATTATAAAAAAGTTTCAGATGTCTGAAAGTTAATGCATTGCACTCATCTCTACTACAAAATGTATTTTAGATGCAAACAAATATAAATTACTTAAACATTACACTTACCGAGAAGCTCTCAAGAGGATGTGAAATGTCTTCGGTCCGAAGTGAGTGTCAACAAAATGTCGGAAATATAATTTTACTTTCACTTTTAACAGCAGCAAATCGCATGACTGTGACAAAAAGGGAAGTGCGTGCCCTTCGAAGACCGGATTTGAAGAGCGATTGCGTCACAGCGTCATGACATAAACTGTCCCAATTCAGGATGCACCCTGCCCTTACAAAAATGTCCTGTGGTAATCATGTGGTACTGCAGCAGTACAACATAAAATTACCACACAACAAATGAGCAGAGCTAAATATGACAGGATTACCACAGCACTTTCTGTTGTACAGTATCACAAGACTTTAACATTGGATGGCATATGTGGTTTTCTGTTGTTTTTCTGTGGCATTACTGATATTTGAACAGAGCTAAATATGACAGGATTACCATATCACTGAAAAATTCAAATAAGTAATTTGTGTCAACACATATTTAAACATTCAAAAAATAAAGTTATTTGTGTGAAAGCATATTGCTGATTATTGCCATATAATTCAAGTTAATGGTGTTTGTGGTCACAATTTCATTCGCGGATCCTTTATGTCAGATACGACTGACTGACTAATATTGACTAGCCTACAACTTGGATAAGATTCCTAAAAGTTTCTTATTTATTTGGTTACACAGTGTTTACAGATCTTCAGTTTTGTATTCCTGAACTTTGTAAGTTATTTGTTATTTTATAGTAGGCATATATCATTGTGTATTTTTATTCGTTTTGTTAATAAAAGTTCTATGTTCTAGGTTGTACTTTTGTTGTTGAATTGAATTCAAGCAATTGACGGCGAATTGCCGTCTTTTTTAATAAATCTGCAAAAATGTCAACAATTCTGTCTTTTTCTGTCAATATGGGGTGCTGTGTGTACATTAATGAGGAAAAAAAATTAACTTAAATGATTTTAGCAAATGGCTGCAATATAACAGAGTGAAAATTTTAAGGGGGTCTGAATACTTTCCGTACCCACTGTATATATATGTATATGAAGATTTTATTTGCAAAAACTGATAACTCTGTTTTTTGTTTTATTTTTATTGTTATGTTTGTATTGTGTTTTATTGTTTTAATTAGCTGTATTTTTGTTATTTTTTTAACCTAATCAAAATAACCCAACTGCAGTTTGATTGAGAATAATTGGAATGCACAATGAAAAAACATGATTTTTGAGAATTGTTATAAACGTTATCGGTTTTTGCAAATGAACTCTTCATATATACAGTATATACTGTATATATATTACAAAGAGTAGAAAACCACTAATATATATAAAATTAGAATTCACAGTGATTTTTTACTCTTTAAGTAATCTTTAAAGGGATAGTTCACCCAAAAATGAAAATTCTGTCAAATTACTCACCCTCATGTCGTTACAAACCTGTAAGACCTTCGTTCACCTTCAGAACACAAATGAAGATATTTCTGAAATAATCCTGAGAGCTTTCAGACTCTTCATAGACAGCAAGAGTACTACCATAGGCAAGGCACAGAAATGTAGTAAAGACATCATTAAAATAGTCCACATGACACATCAGTGGTTCAACCGTAATTTTACGAAGCTACAAGAATACTTTTTGTGTGCAAAGAAAACAAAAATAACCATTATGGTTCTACACCACATGCATGCATTATGATACTCTCCATAATGGTGTTTAACCCTTTGACGCGTACGATCACACCGGTGTGATCAGTCCTGTAGATCCAGGAGCTGGATCAATCTCTTTGTGGTAAGGAGTTTTTGGTTCTTTACCCTGTAAGCAGTCAAAGGAATGTTGTCATGCAACTGAAACGCTGATCTCATAAAGACCTTTCCTCCACGGGCTTCAAACTAGACGACTTGATGAGCAAATAGCTTCTCTGACATGTTATCATTTAAAAACCAACATTTGCGACAAACTCGTGAATTCCTAATAGTTCATGCAAGTTAATTGACATCTTATTTTTTTATGGTCATCGGCTAACGCTAACGACCTTATTCACACAAAAAAAACGGTTAACGTTAGCGGGCTTATTCACAACAGCTCCTAACTACTGTAGGCATCAAATGGAAATGTCAGTTCAATCTAACCAAACTGTTCTTAAATAAAGATATTCTTTCTTAAGTTTACATTACTTCACAATGGGTGTGCTTGCATTACCTGTAGATTAAGCTTCTGCCGTGAACGACTGTTGAGACAGATGTGGAGGATGCGTCCGCCCAAAAAAAGGCGCGGGGCTCATCTAGCCAACTGTGAGAAAACACACAAACATATAAATTAATTTTCCACTAGAAAAATTAAATAAAAATGTGGCTTAATCACTGCACATTAAATATCGTCTTTGATAAAAACACCGAGGTAATGTCGCGCTGGAGCTTCGCGTCTTTGCTAGCTAACACAAATTAGCACTGCTTTGTTCTTAAAATTAAGTGACATCAGAATAAAACGTTCAAACTTTCAAAAGTAAAATAAATGTTATTAAACAGTTCGCCGTGCTTACCTGTTAATGTTCTTCTCTCAGCCGTTCTTCTGACTCTGTGATGATTCCTCAGCCTTGGGTGATGAGCGGCTTAGACTTAAAAGCGCGGGCTTCCTGTCCTTTCCATAATCAAAACTAATTACATTAGAAACAAAAATGTAGTGTATCGTAGTGTAACTGATTTGACTGAAATGTACTTTTCATGTTTTTGTATTTATTTGATTACTAGTTATGTAGATATTTAATTAGTTATGAAAAGTATAAAAGTAAAGATACCTAGGTATTATAAATAATTTATTGCAAAATATATTTTTAATTAGTTTATATTATTTTAAAATGGGTATGCTCGGATTACTTGTTGATCAGGCTCCTGTCGAGTGGCATGTGTTGGTTACATACTTTATCTCACAGAATATAAGATTCTTTCGATTCTTTATGTATTTTTCTCATATGTATTTATTTGATTAGTTATGGAGTTATTAAATGGTTTATGAAATGTATGAAAGTACAGGCATTAATACAAAAGTAATTTCTTGAAAAATTATATTTTTTTTAATATAAATTAGAAACACACCTACTGTTTTTTTATCCCTTTTGAATATGAATTTGTTGTTAGCTATGGACATTAACTCGATTAAATAAATTTATTTAACTTAAATCATTGGCGTTAAAGTAACACATAAATTATAAATAAGCAATTCATAACTTATTCAGATTGAGTTGTGCTGAAAATAATCAGTTATTGAGTTCACTTAACTCTTAGTAATTTCTTGAAAAATTATATATAAAATAAATTAGAAACCCACCTACTGTTTTTTTATCCCTTTTGAATATTAATTTGTTGTTAGCCATCGACATTAACTTGATTCAATAAATGTATTTAACTTAAATCATTGGAGATAAAGTAACACATACATTATAAATAAGCAATTCATAACTTATTCTGATTGAGTTGTGCTTAATATAATCAGTTATTGAGTTCACGTAACTCTTTTTTATCAAGTTTAAGTAACTTTTTTTAAAATTTAAGTTAGATTAACTTATTTTATTTAGTGAATATCACTGTTAGGTTTTACAGTGTATAAACTTCTACCCCTAATTGAATTGTGATTTGTTTAGCATCTTAACCGGCTCGCGGTTAATCGTTACATCCCTATTTATTATTGTATA